AGGGCTAGGGGTGAGGGACTGAAGGTGCTACAATGCTGCCTGGCAAAGTCAGGAGGAGAGAAATGCTTTTCCTTTCCTCTAGTTTTGTCTTGTTGCTTGGAGCCCTCCATTTCACCTTTCAAGGCTGTGAAAGGCTAAAAATTTGTGCAGAAAATAGCAAGAGATTTTTTTTCTTTCTTTTATTATACTGGCAATAGAAACTAAAATCTAGAAAGAGGAAAATTGCATGTTGTAGTGTCCATGTCTTGCCAAGGTGGATGTTGGAGTTTCCAAGTGCAGTGTTGCTTTTTAGATAGCAAAATAATTACTTTTAACTGATTTTGTATCATAGCAACATATCAATTAGTATCTTGCAGCTACCTCTTAATCAGAAGTAATCCAAACACAGATAGAAAGAGGTGGAATGTATTACAGATATTTACGCTTTTGTATGGCTCTCTTGTTCAATTGAGACATAAGGACATAAATTTTTATAATCCTTGGCAGTAAGCTGTTTTGAAAAATTGCTAATCTTTTCCACTTCCTTTGCCAGTTGTCAAAACTATCATGATAATAACTTACAGTATTAAAGAAGGTTAATTTTATAGTTAAAATTCCAGGCTAGAACTCGGGAGATATGTTTCCATTACTTCTGCTGTGGAATGCTCACATGGATTTAGGGTAAGTTGCTTAATCTCTTTGCCTCATTTTCTTCAGCTGTAGATGAGAGAAGGACCTAGTTTTTATATTCTCAGAAGAACATTGGATTTGTGTATCAGTGGGGGCATAGGAACAATACTACAGTACAAATAGAATAATTTCCGTCTCGAAAGAAAACCTAGTTTAAACAGTGAACTGCTGTTTTTACTGTCCTAATTGGCACCTTCACCTCAGGTAGCAATGCTGTGTTTACAGAATGTACAGCAAAGAGAGCCCCTATATTGCTTTGTGTAATTTCACCTGAGCTTTTTTAAGTCTTGTCTTGTAATTGCTGTTCGGTGACAGTAACTGAACAGTAGATTTATAATGTTTAAATATTACAAATCTGAACCTTTTTTCCCCTGCTTTGCATAAAAACATGGAGTGAAACTGTCACTGTGGATTATTTGAGGGAATTTTAGTAATTAGAATTGCATGAGAATTCAGGCTTCTGAGCTGTCATCTGTTCCATTCCCTTCCCAAGTACTAGAGGTTTCAGTAACTTCAGATTTCACAGTTACCTTAAATATCTGACTTATTCTGGCAAGAGATCTTGGAGATAATATTCTGGGGTCAAATTTTGCAGACCTGCCTGTGTCTGGGCAGTTTTTTTGCTTCTGCAAAGTAGAATTTGGCCTTCATGTGAAGTCTAATCTTTCATGTCCTTCTCATGCAAATGAGCTCAGTTGACTGCAGTGGATCTGCTTGTTCTAACTAGGGCCGAGTTGCAGCCACACATCTTTAGGCTGTGAGTTCCAGGATACAGGATTTGAGGTTTCTCTTATGTACACTGGACACAAAGTTTGTAGGTGTTGGCATTCTCACAGAACTGCTTGGGGGGGGGGGAAAGAAGAAAATTTTGAAAGAGAAGTGATTGAAAGTATGAAAGCTGTTTGTGAGTTGCACGAAGGTAGTCACCTATAGCCCACACAAACATGGCAGTATAACTAGAGCTCTGTGAACTTTGAAAACGCTGTTTAGTTGCTAATGTTACTATGGTGAAGTATGTCTGTATAGTGTGGTCTCTGCTGTTTGGTTATTGAGAGTGCCAGTACAGGTTTTGGGTGTAAATAAGATACTTAGGAAGGAAAGCTGTGCATCCCACTCCAGAAACTGGAGCAGTGGATATTTGTGTAGAAGAGCAACATGACACAAATGCTTGATTTTGTTTGTGCAAATGAGAAGGCCTTTGTGATGCAAAGCAGCATCCTGAAAAGGCAAATGTGCTTTTCTGGTTGTAAATATCCCAACTAAATACTGCAGTAATTGCAAGCAGAGCTTGGCATTTTTCCTCTCTATTCTCTTCATCGTTATATTTTAACAAGTTCTCATGAGACTATTAAAATGTCTTAGTTTTTGGAACATGTGGCCATGTGGGGATAACTCTGTCTACAGATGCAGTGGGTTGGCAGCTTGATTTTGCATGTCTTTTCATTTCCCTCCAGATCCTGTGACCCGGTGTAACCTTTGGTCTCCCTCTGAAGGCCGGGCTGAAGGAAGTATGAGCAGGTGACTGATGATCACTGTCAATACAGCCTGCAGACAATATGGGAATTACTTTAGCAGTCTCCCACTCCCTTGTGCTCCCCCCATCCTCTCTTAAATCAACAAATGCAAATAGCAGCCTCCTTATTTGCTGCTATCTCCAGGAGGCTGCCCAGGCAGCATGGCCTTTGTTGCAGTCCTGCCTATTGAAAAAAGCAGCTTCAGCCGTAGGCAGAAGGAAAAATACCAGTGGGACCTGATTCCCCCCCCTTAATGGTTAATGCTGCTAATATTTGCTCCTCTGGCGTACACAGGTAGGAAGATGCTGAGATAAGGTAGTACTTGATGTGTGTGGTTCAATAGTGCAACCTAAAGTGGTTGGAGCTGATTGCATTGTTACTTTGTCCAGTAAATGTCCTTCTGGAAGGGAATAGGGATTGTCCAGTGTCCCAAAACTCATACCTGTGGTCCTAGAACCTGTTGACTTGAAAGTAGCTATGTATTTAACACTATCTGTGTCTTTACTATGCGAGAACAGGAATGCATTTGCTAGATTTCAGCATAGACAGAGGCACAAAGAATTTGTTAAACATTTCTTTACAAGGTCATGATTGTTTTGTTAAATGCATAGTTGTGTGGCAAAAGTAAATAGCTGCATTTTATATTGTTGTAAGCAAATACAGGGCACAATATGTATTACTGCATTGTACAGCATATAGTTGATATTGTTTTGCTTTCCAGACATACAGCTTAACATGAGTTGCCATTCAGGGACATAAAAGTAATGCTGTGCCAGCATTTGGTTAAAATTCTGTTCATCTTATTTTAAGCTGTCATTGCATATGAAAATACATTTTGGCATACATAAATAAAAGGAAAGTGATCGCTTCGCACATCCAGAAGGTGGTCCTTCTCAGATACCTAGGAAATATCACGTCTGTATTTGATGTATTAGGTTTGCAACCAGAGATTTCTTCTGAACTGCCATTTAGGAATATTAGATTAATAACTGAATCAGGCAAATAGCAATGTATGTAAATGATCCTACAGCTCTAGAAATGTGTGTCAGGAGTACTTGTATTTTATAAGAAGTCTGGGCACAGTGTGTATTTCATCTTACTGTGACATTTTCTATTGCAAATACTTAATAACAGTAAACTCCTGAGTAAAAATATGGAGTTAAAGTAACAGTTGTAAAGCTAGGTGCTGGACTGTTGAGTATCACTTAGAGAGCTAGACATTAAAACTGTTACTCAGTCTTTATATGTTATTTTCTTGAGATCTCATTTCAGATTTATCTTTGTGTTTTATTTTGTGTTTTCCTTTGTTACCGGAAAGCCTCAACATAGTTATCTTTTCGGAGAAGAAATATTCCAAAATCACAAAAATCCAGAAGTAGCAGCCCTGTGTGCTCCACTTCCAGTCTGCATTAGTGCTTTGGATCAGGCACTGGTGACTGACGTAGTTAAAGCTTGCTTGAACCCTAATTTGCAGTACTTCAAAGTTATGTCACATTAGGTTCATAGTATGTAAGGTTATGGTAAATCACTTGAGTTTCACCGTCAGCAAGATGCAAAAGGCTGTGGTAGGAGCAGTGTGATACTAGAAAGCTAATTTTGAGTGTAAAGGTTTAAATATGTTGTGTGTTTCTTTATCGTACTTCTCAACAAGGGTGGTTTGATGTCACAAAATTTCCTATTTTCATCTTCTTACCTGTTCCGCAACTTGTAAAATCTGTCTGCCTGCCAGCAAGCAGGTCAACAAAATGGAATATTTATTGGCCTTTTGGACTTAGTATTTGCTTTTTTTTGGCCACAGGTGCCACTATAGCATGGTGTGGCACGTCTTTTCAGTGAGGATATGTCCTTATATGAAGGTTCTGTTTGGCATCCTTTTAGTGTTTTAATCTGTCCGTTGGGTTGGAAATAGATAAAATAAAATTATCGTTGTTATTTCAGAGAAGAGTGAATTGGATGGAAAAGACTCTTAACTAGGAAGTTCAATTCAGTGAAATCTGATCACATCCTGCAGCTTCACACCAGATTATAATGCAGTCATATCATATGCATATTGGATCATATTCAAGTGGATATCTGTTGGGATCCCATATTGAATTTGTATTGGGATGGGAGATTCACTCATTTCATGGGAGAAAACCACTTCAATGTAAAGAATGAGTAAAAATGATACTTTGTGTTTGATTTTTGGACGTCCTTCTTCCAAATGGTTTGAGGCAGAAAAATCTGGGTATAGTTATGTGAACTTAACTTTCTAAACTGGCATCTCAGAGAAATGCTCATTAATGACTTTTTACCTGTCATCAGTTTTCGTTGTCAGTGGGCTGATTTTCTTTGCTGCTCAGAATTGTTTTGTAGCGCCCTGGAAGTTGTTGGCATGTCTTGCAATTGTGAAACGGCTCTTAGAGGAAAGGGGCTATATTACAGGCTGTATAGTTTGTGGCCTTCTTCATGAAGGCCTTCTTGATGAATGGCACTTTATAAATATCATAATTAAATTATGGGAAGCATTTATAAGGTGAGTGGATTAATTATTTTTGGGGGGTTTTTTGTGGTTTTTTTTTTCCAATTCTTATTTGAATGTTTTTCTCTTAGGAAAGTTCCTCTAAAAGAATGGGTACAAAGAGTTCTCTCTTTGGCTTCAATAGAGTTACATAGTTTCATGCCAACCACTTAAGTTCAAAATACAAAGTATATTTATTTTACAATGTAAATTGTGCAGTACACTTTTCTTTTTTTAAGCCTTTGTTAGAAAAGTTGCTTTCCATTGTTCATTTTGAGGTTTTCCCCCCCTTCCCTTTTGTTTTTGTTTTTCCTCAGTTTCCATTACAAAGAGCAGTGCAAAAATCCAATCTTCCCCTTCCAAAGTGACCCGGCGTTCAATGCAGTCTCCACAGAAATCTGCTCCAGTACCAGCACAGCGAGGCAGGAAACCAGGTCGGGGCAAACCCCCTGGACAGTCTGCAGTTCCCAAGAAGGGCCGGTCTCCTAAAAATATTCCCCTGACAAAAAGCACCTCTCATACTGAAAATCTTAAAACAAGGAAAAAAAGTTTAAAACCTGGAAAAAAGGTTAGTCCTTATCTACTACTTTACTTTGTACTGCAAAATTTTGGAGTGAGTTTTTTTATTATTATTATTATTAAATTTTCTGTCTTCAGCCTTCAGGGCTTTACTGTTTTCATCAACTGATTGCAAGAAAAAATCTAGAATAGCTATCCTGGAATATTTCAGTGTAAGAGTCTGTGGATTATTTTATTCCCAAACAAGATTACTAAATTATTTATGGGTGAGTAGTTGGTGTTGAAAAATGCTATTCTGGAATAGCCATTCCCAGTAAAATTGCAAGAGCCAGGAAAGCTTTTAAGCTTTTTAGTCTGAGTTAGTTTGTTACTGAACCATATATATAGCATGTGTAATTTTTTTTATTTTTTTGTTTTGTTCTGGGTTAGAAACGAAAGAACAGTGAGGGCTTTGTTGCATAATTTAGGCTTCTTAAGCATACAGCTGGATTTGCCAAATGAATCTCATGGATACACCCTAATCCGGGAGATACTACTAGCATGAAGCACAAAGCTTCTTTCAGGCAAAACATTTCTCTAGGTGTGGGCCTAATTCTGCCCTGGTCTGAAAGACATGATGCCTTTCTGCCTTTCTCCCTGCCAAGCTGAGTCAGATCTGGAGTGTTGGCAGCTGCCTCCAGCTTCACCTGCAGTGGAGCTGTTTGATCAGGTACACACTGACACTGCTGTACCCTCACCCCACTTCCCGCTCCCATGTGGTACCAGTGCTGGTGGGTAACCTGTCTGAGTGAGATAGTTCAGGGAGCTCAACTGGTAGACAACTAGCACAACATCCGTCCCTCTTATTTCCTTCTTTGTCTGCTCCACCCCAAAAAAGCACAAGTGCTGCAGCTGCTGCAAGGAAGAATAGGATCACAGCAGGGCAGATTTCAGGCAATTTGGATTGCTGTGGAAGTACGATCTATTTTCTGAGGCTTGCTCATGCACAGCAGGCTGTCAAAGAGGAGTAGCAATCCTGCAGTGTCTTTCCTCAGGCAATCTACTCCTTCTTCCTTTGCATTAGCACTAGTGGGAGGTGGGGGACACTGTTGGATTTTTTTTTTTTGTGTGTGTTCGTTACCCACTCCCCTCCAAAGATTAAAAAAGTAGAAGTTTTGCAGCTTTTCTCCTTCACTGTATATCAGTGTGGGCTGTGGGATCTATTGCTAGTGATGTGTGGAAAGGGGTGAAGTAATGGCACAGGTGGGAATTCTCCCTTCAGTGACAGTGCTGATCAGTGTAAAGTGCTAGTGAAGTAACATTATTAGAGCGTAACCAGAACTCTCTAGTACAAAACTGGAAGCAGCACTTTGTTGAAATGATGACCACAAGATAAGAAATGATCTTGGGGACCAGAAATTGAAAGCTGAGCACTGTCTTCTCTGCTGCCTGCCCCTTCCAGTCGGACATCCAAACTGGTAGGCAGCTGATGGGATTGGTCTCCAGTTTTGTTTGTCTCTTGCTTGGTGTATGAAAGTGCACAGAGGCACAGATTAAAGAGGAGAAGGGTGCTTCTGTTCAGCATTAGCTAGTGGGTGGCGTGTTCTCCACAAGTCTGGGGAGGTTTTAAAGTACAGCATTGAACACAGGACTGTCAAATCTTAAGGTCTTACTCAGGTATGGCAGGATGCGCACTTTCACGTATGAATTTTGTTCTCTCTCTCATTAAAAAGAAATCGAGAGGCTTTATCTATCTTTTGAAACAATAGTTGGAGATATCTTGCCCTTAGAAGAGGCTTCTGGGCTCAGACTGGATGTCTCAAAGTGTCTGCTTGGAGCACTGCATTTGACACCTGATCTGTGTGAGGTACCTGGGGGAACTGATGGAGAATGGGGGTTACTGCTGACGCTCCCTGTCTTGGGGCAGTGAATCTGAGATGCACAGTGAAATCTGTGCACTGCTGATTTCCTCTGTGGGACCAGGCAACAGAGTTAGTTTCGCAAAATCTAAGTTTGATGTATCTAATTTGGGAGTTTTACTACATTAACTTTTGCATCAAAAACTTGAAAAATTAGCTCCTTTTGAGAATTCACAGAAAGTTGTTATTACTCTGGTACATGGTTAAATTGCCAAGATGTTATACATATGTGCAAGCTTTTCTTTGGACTGTTACACCTGTTAGCATAAGGGTAAAGAGGTGAAATGCAGCTTTGTGGGAATTGTGCAGAGTGTATCTGACATGGAGTGCCATACAGACTGTATACCTCACAGGACATATGCAAATGGTATGTGCCTAGAGATTTGAAAGTGATTTTTTTCTTTCTCCCCCAAGACTGATCCAAAAAAACTCCTCCAGATTTTAGACTGAATAATTGTGCTTCAGGTGTGAGCTGGCTGTGTGATAGTTCAAAACCTCTGTATTTAGGGAGATTGGTCTATGCCTGTTACTCTGTAGTTGTTTGAATTTCTTTGCCCTTTTAGGTTTGTTATGCTGCAATGTTTATCACTGTGCAGATATTAACTTTTATTGCACAACTAGGAATGTTGAGCCCTGGCGTCATTTTTCTCCTTTATTTAAATTTTTTTCTAATCTGCCCTACAAGCATGAGATGCATGATGGATTTTGTTTTCCATTTGTTTCTCACAGTTTGCACTTACGTTTTTACTCTGTCATAATGAAGAAGAAACCTCTTTACATCTCTTTCATTATATTTTAAAAGTACACTTTGCATAACAGTGCAAAGAATTCCTTTCAGAATTTCTTGAGGAAACACCTTGGTCTGAGTATGCGTAACAGCCCTAAATTCAACCTCACAAAAAGAGTTTTTAAGTGTCAGGGTAAAGCCAGTGTTTGAAGTTGGCCCAGTGGCACCAGACTCTGAGCAGTGCTCTCTGCAGGCAGACAGAACTGGCAGGGGCCAGCCAGTAACAGCCAGACCAAGGAAACGTGCTGAGCCCTGCTGGGAACATGACCTGCCTTGTGACACACCATGGCATTGGGCACACGGCTTGCTGCTCCTCAGTGTGGGATACAAAATGAGAGCCTCAGCTGAGCAAGTGTAACGTGCTATGTTTTCTTCTGAGGGCGAAGGTAGGAAGTGTCTGGCTGGCCTCACCACACTTGTATGTTAGTATGCAGAGCAGATGGTTCCTCTTAGTTTAGTGTTTGTATTTTGTTTTCATGGCTATATTTTTCCGATTTCCTCATCATTCTCCTTGACTTGACCACCCGTATTTTCCAGCATGGTGATGGACAACTGCTGCCCCTGCTCCAGGGGGCCTTCAGGAATATTAGATTTCAGATCAAAAACTCAATCTTTCCAAGTCCATTTTTGTTCCTTGTATTAAGGATGGAGAGAGACCTTTCTGTCATCCAGTGTGAAGATACTTAGGCAATTCCTGACAAGTAATACATCACTGCTTGGTTTTGTATCTAACCTGTGCCACCTCATCTCATTCACAATGCAATGCCAAACCTTGGCAGTCTATTCCTTATGTAGTGATTCCACCAGTGCCATATTGCTAAGCACTTTCTCGAGTGACACCTATCTTCTCTGAACTATAAGAGGACCATAATTTTTCTTCAAAGTGCCCTGGATTTCAGAAGGAAGTTAATTGATTCTTTATAGATGCTGTGAAGAAGTTAAGCACCACTTTTTTTAGGGAAGTGTATGTTTTGATTGCTTTCTACATTGTTTTTAATACATTTTTTGGAAAATATGCTGCTTCTAAAAGTGTGAAGGATGAATACTGCTAAATGGAAGAGGGCTTAGCCTTCCTTAGGGACTTGACTGAATTTTTATTTTACTATTTATCAGTTTTAACAGTAAATCCTTACCACATGACCACAAGTCTCTACTGACTTCAGCAGTGTCAAGACCTTGAGTAATCTCTTATATTCTTAATTTTTACTAGGTGAGAGAATGAGAATTTTATCTGTTCTCATGTGAGAAGAAGTAGTGAAGGGAGAAGTGATCAACTCTAATTTATTCTTTCTTTAATTTTCATGTATTTTCATAGTATGTCAAACCACATTAAAAAGGTCTTTCTTGTGAACATCTCTTTTCTAAAGCCCAGTCCAAACCAAATTACAAAAATATTCTCCTTTTCTCAACTGGAAAAGATAATGCACGCTGACCAATTTTGAAATCTCTGTGCTGCAAATGGTGGTTTTCTGTCATATGATAAGCTTCAAATAAGTTTGGTTTGGGAACGGGAAAGGTTTTGGCAACAACATGACTGGATTGTAGTGACAGGTTTATTTGATATCTTTCATGAAGCACCTGTTCCTGAAAGCGGTTACTTGAGAATTCCAGCTCCTTCAAAACAAGTTGAGGGAAAATACAGGTTTGCTGTGATGTTGATGTTCAGATATGACTCAGGTTTTTTATAGCAATATATACACAGTGCAACTAACTTGCTTGAATTGTGATAAACCCAGGTGATTGGAAGGGCATGGACAGGAAAATAATCCAAAACACTTCTTCTGTGCTTTGTAACACTTAGAAGAGTTCATAAATTTGTATAGAAAGCTTGCTCTTTTCCCACTTTTTAGATAAAGATGGGTTCCTTTATAAGTCATTTATCTTCCACTTCGTTACTAAAGTAGCTGTAAATGCAAACTGACAGTTTCTGATCTTCCTTTCCACAACTTTACCTTCTTTCCTGTGTGTGATACTTGTGTAATAAGGAACCACACAGATTCATTAAGATGGTAACTGATAGCAGAAAGGTTTTGCAGACTCCTTAAAAAATGTTAAACATTTTGACTTTGTTTTTTTTTTCTCTAAACAGAAAAAAATCTTGCCAGAAAAAACAACTCCTGCATCTCCTTCTCCTCAGTCATCTCCTGAGGGGGACAGTGGAACTACACAGATACATAAAGATGGATTTAGTTTGTCTGGTGCAACTGCAGCAGTTATATCCACAGGTAAAAGACAAAGAAAAAAATGTTCAAAATGGGTTCCATGTCAAGGAAAATAATAGTGTCATTTTATGGCAAATGTCCTGCAAACTTATTACTAAATAATTTTCCGACTACCTTATTTTTAAAGATATTTGTAGGAACCAGAGTTAGTTTGTAGAACTAGTATTTTGATGCCTGCATTACAGCAATAAATGCTGGGGCACAGGGGCTTTTGGTAGATCTGCTAGACCTGACAGTTTGTTCCTGTCTGAAGAAGGAAACTGTACAGTTCTTTCATGTCTGTCCCACTGCCTAATGTATGAAATGGGAGTAGATGTAGCAATGATATTCTGATATCATGCAGGCTGTACTGTAATATAACAAACTGGAGATTTTATCTTTGTATACCCTTACATGAAAAGAAACAACTCTGTTAAAACCCAGTAAAGGGAATCAGAGGGAATACATTCTTCTTTCCTCATGTTTGCTTTTTTTTTTCTTTTAAATATAATGAAATGCATCTTGAAAAGAGTTGGCAGAGAAGAAATAAGTTAGTAAATGAACTAACCCATTGAGGAACTGGTAACTCTGTAGTGAAACAATTTTTGTGTTGTCACGTGAAATCTCAGATCTTCCTAAAAATGCCATAAATTATGCTAATTTTGTTTGGGATGTCTTTTTACATTTAAGACCTGTTTTTACAATTGAAGTTGTCAGGCTCTTCTCACTCCCAAATTCAGTCATGGATGAGGAGAAAACATGTACTTTTTTCCTAGGAAAATAAACCTTTTGGTTGTTGTTGTTGAACCCAGACAGAAGATGCTATAGAAACTATTTTTGTTGATTCATAGCTTTGATTATTTGTACAAATAGGTTTCCTCCAATTTGCAGACATCAGAGAGTAAACAGATATGGATGAAGACTCTTGTGGAAGTACTTCAGTTTCAGAAGTCCTGGTTTTTATCTAAGTGCAAGTCATACTGCAGTTCAGAAAATGTCAGTCTTTTGTGTAATAGAATGTTTAGATTGTTTAATCACCACAGAGGCACATTTCTTTATTAAGCTGTAATAATGTCTCGGGTACAATTTTTGTCATGTGATAGTGAAGTTGAACAAGAAAAAAAAATCATCAGTTGCATCTTTTTCCCATGTTTTTCTGCCTTGGAAGTCTCTTTGGAAGACAATTTCACATTGTTTCTTTAAAAAGTGTTTTCAAAAGTCCTGTATGGTTTTTTGTGCTAAGCTTACAGTGTTTCTAGAGAAGTGTTTATTTTATTTAGCAGAGAAAACCGTGTTACAGTGTGGGAATCATGTGTGAGAGGTTTGGATCTTCTGAAGGTACAGGCCTTCAGTAGCCATTGTGTGTGTATAATGGCCCTGTGTGCATGTATATGTTAGTGCCATATGGGTGCTTCAGAATGAGCATCAGTGGTAGGTATATAACATAGGGTTCTCTTTGTTGCAACTTCTTAAACAGGAAAAAATTTTGACAGTAACTTGGTAAGACCAGCTTTTTAGAATTGTGTCTTAGTCATTTAGAGTACCTGCCAGTAATTCGTACTTTATTGGAACTAGTGTATGAGCAGAGATATCAAAATACAAGTCTTGTTACATTAGTGAGGTAGAGAAGGGCTTCAAAGAACAGGAAGAAAAAGTGGGTTTAGGACTCAGGTAGGAGAACCTTGGTGGAAGAGCACGTTCTGCATGCTCTGAAAGCATGTGTGCATGTTCAGCTTCTTGAGTTGACCAGCACATCTTTTCCTCGAGATTAAAACTAAAATGACACTTTGCAGTTCTAACTTGGAAACATGTCTTGGTTTCTTGGCAGTAAATATGGCTTGTACCTTTTCAGTGTGTGTTTATGTCAACAAACATGGAAATTCTGGGCCTCACCTGGATAAGAAGAAGGTTCAGCAGCTTCCAGACCACTTTGGACCAGGTCCTGTCAATGTGGTACTTCAGCAGGCTGTACAGGCTTGTGTGGATTGTGCCTATCAAGCCAAAACAGTCTTTGGATTTCTGAAATCTGGCCATCATGGAGGGGAAGTGATAACTGGTATGTGAAGATGCTTGGTTTCTTCTGTTTCTTCACTCGGTTGAGAACTTGAGGTAGGGCAGAAGAACTGAAGAACTGCAATGAATTTATATCACTTTTGTAACTATGTAAACACAGGCAAGAACATATACTTGTGAACTCCTTCACTACTGGTGGTGAGTGATCTATCTCACTCTGGGTTCAGAGTGATTTGAATAATTCTTCAAGTTAGAATTTACCAATAGCAGTGTTAAATTCCATATGCACAGTTAGGTTCTTATACTAAGCAGAGCTTGTGCACCTCATTTAGCAGCTGTAGCCAAACATTTGTAAAGTAAACTCAGTACAAGTGAAGTAATCAGCTTTATTAATTCAAGTCATTTGCATAATCTTATCCATACTTGGTGTTCTTTATGCATTAACCAAGTGAGTGACAAGTCTCAAACTAATCTGTTTAGCTTCCAGGCAAGTGATTCCACATGTTAAAGTTGCTGCTGCTTCTCTTACTCCCTTCCCCAGAACTGTAGCACGATCTTCATCAACCTATGTCCCATAATATGGAATAGGTTTATTTCTATTACATTTTGATGGCAGGTCTGTAGATAAATTATCTTTATATCTCAAACTGAATAGCTACTCTTGACATTTTTTTCCTTCTAGGCTAGGAAATATTCTATATAGCAGTTAGCACATCAATTCATAATTCCATCACTGGTGATAAAAATACTTTGCATTACTTTAATCTCTTTAGATTAACACCAGATGTGAAAGATGATTAGTGGAATAGAGGTTCAGTTAAATACTCATAAAGATGTTGCTGCATAACAATATTTAAAAAGCAGCACCCCAACCTGTGTACAGCAGAACTACAGTAATCTTGCTTAGGCATCCCCATGAATTTGTTCACAAAATGGATGCTGCTTCTCAGCTGTGTAGTAAAGGTTTAATGGCATTGTATATGTGTGGTTTTGAAACTGATACTGCTTTATTTTTGCAGTACGCATGAAAGTTTTTTATATTATTAACTCCTTGTTGTGCCTAATTCAGGCAAGTCAATTTTCTACAGCAAAATGCACTGAGATGTTCATTGCCAGTATTCTGTTTGTGATTGTTTATCATGAAGGACTAAATCATAGGCCAGTGGCAACTCTGGGCTGTGACTGAGTAGTTGAAAATAATTATTTCAAATAGCAGAAAAAAATTTCAGATTTCTCATGAAGTTGTGGTTTGTTTACATTCAAAAATTCTGTACAAAAAGGAAGTATTGTTCTGCATCTGGCTTCACCCCAAGGCCTGTATTCAGAGAAATCAGCTCTGTAGCCCTGTATTTGAGGAACCTGGTGATGTAGACTGCTCCTGAAGTAGAGTCCTGGTCCAGGTGATAGTGAGCCACAAGATCCCAGGGGGTTTCTGGTGTTCTTGAGCTCTTGCCTTCTCGTTGGCTTGTCAAACAGATTGCTGAGAAGCAGGTGAGCAAACACTCCCTGTCACTGTATCAAAAGTTTGTGTGTTATATTCTGTGAACCACGAAATATGACTTAGATTAATGTAGCACATTGCAGATATATGTGTGCATGAACAGCAAGGAAGAAGAGGAAAGCAAGAGTAGAATAAAATAAGGAATTACAGAATGAAATTTTGAGAGTATTTGCTTGTAGCTTTTCTTGATTTAAAGTGGTTTTGGTGGGTGGTTTGTTGTTCACGTTTTGTTTAGGTTTTTTTTTAAGACAAGAAAAAAGGATGTTGCAGCAGAAAACAAGAAAAGAAATCTAAATCTTTTGGGGAACTGATGCTTTCATGGCAAGTTTTATACCTGCTGTAGGAGGAAACTGTGCTGATGAGGACATGGATAAAATAATCTTGCTAGAATTTGTGGAATAATTAGGGGGTTCTTTCAGTTCAGCTGCCAAGGAAAATAATTGTTTTGAATAAAATTGAATTTAGAATTTTTCCATCTTTTCTTACTCAAACAAAGGCACAAACCCTTTTATTTTTGCTTGATGCATAAGGTTTCAATTCAGGCAAATATAACTGAAAGGAAATTAAAAGCTTGATTAGCAAGCCCATTATGGTGGTGGTGTCAGCCCCTTTTTTCTCCCTGTAGTACAGACACTGTGGTGCTTGGTGGGATGAAATAGATTGAGGCTCAGATAAATTTTCTCAAAAGAGAATTAAAATCAGACTCTTGGATAAGTTTCATCACTATCAGAAAAACACATTTTTCGATAGTTTAGCTCTCAGTCTTTCTTCTGGCTTGAATGTGGTATTTAAAACATACCCAATGGAAGGTAAAGAAATGAGTATGACTCCTGGGGGCTGGGATTGCACACGCAAGCTCCAGTCCCTGTTTATATATCATTAAAGGTTGAGGTTATTTCACCTCAAAAGTACTCCTTTTAATTTTTTTCCCCTAGCATTTGTCTGGGAAGAAAGATGCTCATATTGTCCCCAAGCAGAGCAGACAGTTGAGCCTGTGGGTCTAGATCACACACCCTTGGTTGGAGTTTTTATGGTTCCCCTGAGGTGTTCAGAGGACAGGGGAGCTGTGTTTGCACTGAATATTTATTTGTGGATTTTCCCCATGGAATGTTTTGCTGGGGCACTCACAATGCCTCAGCTGTTTCTTGCTTTATCCTCCTGACAACTTTTAAATAACATTGTTCTTTCCAATACTTCTTTCAAAATGAGAAATTAAGGGGTATAGAATAAGTCATTTCTCCAAAGTCATATAGGAAGATCCATAAAGCTATTATAAAGCATTTTAAATTTCTGCTGTAGCTGACTACTACCTTGCAGTAAATTTGTCAGGAGGTCAGCCTGTGCTAGGTCTCACAGCCCATTTGCTCTCCAGAACTGGTTGAGTTCCATGCAAAAATTTGCCTTTGGAGACCCCTTCCCCAAACAGGATGTAGAGGACCTTGTGTCTGAGCCACATGTGGGACTGTTAATCATTAGCATTTCATTTGAACGTTGGAGCCTGGAAAAATCGAACAGGCCACGGAAACACTTTTTTCCTGTAGTACTGACTCTTAAACTTCAAGTACTTGCATTGGTCAGTCTGTCATGAAAGCAGATGGGAGAGGGAGCATGTTGTTGATGCTAGCTGGTTAACTTGCATTAACTCTAATCAGAAGCTTCCTTGCATCAACAGTGTAAGTAATTGACACTTCAGATTTCCTAAGGAAGCCTAAAATATGCTAGGCTTGGGCATTTTCTTTGGTTTTGTGTATATTATCTGTCTCTTTTGCAACACGATATGGAAATATTCCTTAATTCAGATCTGTGAATAAAGGCTTTCATGTCATTTCTGGCTTTTAAAAATTTTTTTAATGCATCTGCTACTGACAAAATGTGATCCTTTAATGCTCTGCTTATCATTTGGAAACTTATGTTAACAACAGAAACTGCATGACAGGCTGAAAACCAAGAAGACAAATTGATGCATAAACCTGGTGTTCGTGCCGCTTCTTTTCAGTGCTTAGTTTAAGTTACAAGTTTGTTCCTGCTTTGTTGTAAAGTCTTTCTAATCAGAAGTAACTAAAAGTTTCAGCTGATGTAATGGTAATTATTTATCCATATATTGGTAGTATTGAGCCTTTTCAAAACCTTACTAATTTGCACAGAAAAGGAAAAATATCAGCTGCCACACTGTGTTTGAGGGGCAAGGAAGGAGATCAGCCAGGAAAAAACATAAGGCACATGTCCCGGCTGCTTGTAATCACTCAGTTTAAAAGACTACAGATTCTTTTGTGGCTGTTGTGGTGTCTCTGCCACCTAGCTTTTGTTGAAATAAGTGAGAGCTTGACCACTGTAGTGCTGACAGCAGCATAGATTTCTCTAGTGATAAAATAAATGGCAAAAGTTTCCGTAGTCAGAATTTCAGTGGTAATGGATGCCAGCACATTACCACAAGTATGCTCCCTTCAGTTAGAAACTGAGAAAAAAAAATGTTAAAATTGTTTGTTTCATTCCTTCTTTTTTAAAAAAAAGAAAAAAAATTGTTTGGGCTTTTTTTATTTTTAGCAAATATTTTAAAGGCTCTTTTGTGTGCTATGTCCTGCAAATAGGTGGTAGAAAGCTTACTGTTTTATAAGCAAGTAGCAGAAATTACGCAAGGTTTTGGTGGTGAGGAAATAGCTGCAAGTTTTGTTATACTAGTGTGAATCCCAAATTATTTTATTAAAACCAGTTCCTATAGAGCAAATTTAAACTGACATGGATCCAATGGAAGGTAAAATCAGTCCTTTGGATGTGAATTTTTTAAACTATTGGAATGATTATTTACTCCTCTCATGTCTTGTGTGGTTTAAATCAAATCTGGATGTCTTCTCCTTTAAGTTAATGATGGTATTTTACTATACTTTATGATGTGTGATGTAATCTTCTTATTCACAGCTTCCTTTGATGGGGAAAAGCATGCCATCAATCTTCCTTCTGTAAACAGTGCATCATTTGTCCTGCGCTTCTTGGAGAAGCTCTGCCACAGCCTGCAGTGTGATAATCTCTTCAGTAGCCAGCCTTTCAGCCCTTACATGGGATGTGCACATAGTCCTACAGAGTATGATAGGAACAAGCCAGGTATTGTTAATCACTTGCTACTTTCAAGTGCTGGTATTTTTGAGAAATGCAGTGAAATTATGAATTATAAAATGTAAATTTTTAGTCTTTCTAGGATGCGAATGGCTTGAAATTAATACACTTCAGTTCTTAGTGGATTGGTTCCACTGTGATAGTGCTTTGACAGAAGGGATAGCTTATACCACATGGGTGTAAATAATTTTGTTCAGCGAACTCCTCCTTGTAGGCAAGCCAGAAAACATATGTACTTTACCACTGTGATACCATTAAAAAGACAAGCTCAAAACTTCACATTTTACTTGTTAAAAATTATGTTTGGATCATAAAATAAACTTACTGAAAGATACTTGCTGCCTATGAGAAGGGGCTTGCCCTGAAAGGCAATTCAGTCTAACCCTTCCAATATTAGGAAAAGGTCGTTTCTTTTCTCTTTATTCACCTTACTTAGTGATGACTCCAAAAATTTTACATTCTGCTATGTACAGTCCAGTCTTCTAGTAGAAAAGGTGGATTTTGCAGGTGGCTACTTGTGAAATTTTCCGTGAGTCCAGTATCTTTGCTGCTCCAGGAAAATAGAGTGAAGGGGAGAGGACATGACTTACCCAACATCTCCCAACAGATTGTTTGCAGGATGTGGTGTTACAAGTCCCAGATCAAGAGTCACCAGGAGCCATAGCTGAGATGGCCTTGTTGTCAGGGCAATTTCAGGAGATTCATATTGGGAGCGAAGCTTCCTCTCAGCTGTCTGGTAGTTGAGTCTGTTTTCTGGGTGCTGCTTTAGAAAATATGGGGTTTTTTCATCTTTCCAGTGGAGGAATTAAATTTATAATCCTATCTGTTATGTGCAAGTCATTAGTTTTAACTCTTTTCAGAAAAATAAGTAGACAGGGTCAAGGTAATTCAACTTAGAAAGCTCGTATTGAAATGACTGAGGCTGTGTGACACAAGAAACTGAACTGTAACCTGGTGACTGGCTGATGTCTGTCTTTGCTTTTGTCCCTGGACTTTGCCCATGAGCAGCTTTATGCTGGAATAATACATGGTGACTTTCCTCTTCACAGCCAAAGAAGAAATACCTGAAAACAGGAATGCTAAACGATACTCTCAGGACTCTCCACCATATACTGCTCCTCTTTCCCCTAAACTTCCCAGAAAGGATGCTCATCCATCTGAAGGTAATTACATTATGTCGGGATTATATATGAGGATTATTTATGGTTTCAGTATTTCCAGTCAAAAAGGACTGAGTACAACATATGTGTCTGGTTTGTCTCTAGCCTTTGACAGGTCAGGGTGAAAGTATGTTAATTATTGATCACTGGCACAGATTTTGCACTTAGGGAAGATCTACTGCAAGTCACAGCAGTGCTTCTCCTAAACCCGCAGCCTTTTCTGCAAAGGGGCTCAGGCACATAGGTGACAGATGAAGCCTCCTGCTTCATGTATGGCTGAAAACCAATTGCCTTGAAATGGGTTAGGAGATAAATTGGAAGCAACTCTTAACTCTAGGCAGAGATCATTAAGTGAGTAAGGGTGCAGCTTGATGGTACAATTTAGCAGAGTTTATGGCTAGCTGCCTGGGAAAGTTGTGCTGCTCCTGCTTTCCTTGCCTCCTTGTCCCTGCATTGAGTCCTAGCCCACCCCTACTCCTTCTCTCTGGCTGATTAGTGTGCTGAACCGTTAACAAAAGCACAGAAAACATTCTGGTTAAGAGTCTTGCAGTTTACTTCTCTGGGGTGACTCACTGTGGACTCAGGTGAGCATAGGGAAGGGTTGAATCCAAGGCAGCCGTGGCCAGGGTAGTGGCATAGCCTTCCTGTGGCAGCTGACTGTTAGGTTGATGTTGTTCACTAATAAATAGCACTTTTTTCTTGTGCTGCAATTGAGCTGCAGTAACTGAGCATATGTCTAATTTTAGTCTGCCTCAGATGTGAAGTAAAGGCTCTAGGTTTAAACCTCAGAGAGAGAGACACAGCAAAATGCTTTTTTACTCTGTATTTGCTACTTAACTCGTTCAGCCGTGATAAATTGATGATATTGACTCATCCCATCTGATACATACTTTCTCTTGCTAGAAGATATTTACACATTGTTTTTTGAAATATGATGGGAATGAGGTGTTTTCCTTCTTTTTTCTTTTTTTCCCCCTTTTTTTATGTGATCCTGAAGTGATTTTGTATCTATCAGCATGAGTGGGGGCAGAATAATCTCTTCTGTTAAAGCAGAAAAGGATATAAAATTAAAATGTTCCAAATGATAGCTTATTTAAAATGGTACCTCTTATTATTTTGTATATATGTAGCATATTCACATATTTGTATTTCCTGCAGCTGTTATTATATACAGTTCTGCATTGATTATCGATTTCTGTGTCTTTCAAAAAGAAGCACTGGCTTAATTCCAGAGATACGTTGTACACCTAAGTCAGATATTTCTGGTAGGTAACATAATAAGTGTGGAGCACTTAATTATGCTCAAATGAAGTTGTTTCATTTGGAGCAAAACAAATGTTTAAGTTTATCTTGCTAGAAATCTTTCTCGAAGTAAACATGAGTGCACATTGTGCTTCTTAATCCTTGTTTGTAATGGGTCTCTTTTACAGAGGAAGTCTTTAAAATACATTTTAAGATCAGTACTTCATTGTAAAGTGCAGTTACTTGGATAAAAAATAATTAAAATAAGTGTTTTTCCATGGTTTCAAAAGTTTGAATTTGTGCTTTCTGCATTTCAAGAGGCAGAGTGTTCTCTAGTGTTGTGTGTTTCCCATTAGAGCAATGTCCTCCGCTGAAAATCTGGAGGCAATTTTATAGCGGTCAGTCATGGGTTGGTTAGCAAGAAAGATCTGCCCCGAAAAAGTTCTTGTTCCATTGATGTTGTCTTAAAATAGTTGTTTCAAAATATCATTTGAAGGTGAAATGGAATAATTGTGGGAAATGGGTCTTTCAAACAGCTCGTTTTCCTTCTGATCTGCTCAGGGATATGTTTTGCAGATTTTACTGCCTTTCTTGCTCCTTAACAATTTCTTCTTTAAGTTATGAAAGATAAAGGAGGAGGGAGTGGGGAATAAGTCAGACTCCCTACCCCTGAAAACAGAGTGTTCTTACTACTGTGTCTGATTACATCATTTTGTTATGTATGAGACAGAACAACTGGCTTCTAATTCCCAGAAGAACTTCAAGAAAACAAGACATCCAATTCCTGCTAAGGCCTTCAGTGCTTAAACAGTATACTGTCATCCTTACATTTGAAACATAAGGCCTCTTATTGGCCTTTTATTAATCCGTGCAGAGATCAGGCATTCTGCAGTGGAACCTCCCACCTCTTTCTTGAGCGCTGTTATTCACAACTGCTCGAAACGTCGAGGTAGGAGGAATGTGTCACTCCATGGATTGCAAAGCTCCATTTGCTGGATGTTTGTAGAGCAGCTAGATGGATGGAACAGAAGGTGGATTGGACACTATAGTTGCCGAACGCCTTCCCTAAAAAATGATGGGAAATACCTTTCCCACCTTGTGTATGTGAGAGTTTACAGTAAGATAAATTCAAATGTGAGTATCTTAGGGCAAAAAAGCAGAGTTGATCTTTCCCAGACCTATTTATTATTGTTTACTTTAGAGTATAAAACATCAGAAAGAAATCTGGGATATAATTGAAATAAATATAATTAAATTATTTTGTAATACAGTCAATTTTTTTAATCTTTTTGTCTTCAGAAATCTTGACAAAAATTATATGAAACAATTATTTCTCAAAAAAAATCCTATGTTTGGACTCCTGCTTGTTTGCTATGAAAGCTACAAAAATAGTTTTGCTGTAATTGTTTAAAATATCACCTCTGCCTTTTGACTTTGGACTGAGATTTCTGTTAGTGATTTCATTCTCTACAGCTCTAATTTTCCCTTGGTTGGCTAGCTTTTAATTTTATAGTGCTCATCATTGACTACATCTCTTAAAATCTTTCCGAAATTCTATGGAATGATAGCTTTTGTTTCTAATTTTTATAAGTTGCTGTAACTACTTCTGAGAAATGAGTTAATTTTCCTGTTTGTTTTTTTGAAAATTTTAGTAGCTTCTTCTTTGCTTTTGTGATTGAAGTTTGACAAACTATAAAGTTTTGCAGTGGTTATTTTAGAATTATTTATATGAAAGAGAAGGACTTGTGTCCATAAAAGCTTTTTTGTTTGACGAGTATTGAATTTAGTAAATGATGTTACACTGTCTCTTAGACAAGGAGTCCAGGAAGGCTGGGCACTCTTTAAGATGGAAATCTTAAAGGTGCAGGAGCAGGCTGTCTCCAAATGCTGGAAAAAGACTGGCCTGGCTGAACATAGAGCTTTGGCATGAACTCAGGAAAAAAAAAGGAGAGTTTATGACCTGTGGAAGAAGGGACAGGAAAGTTAGAAGGACTACAAGGATGCTGTGAGGTTATTCAAGGAGAAAATTAGAAGGGGCAAAGCCCAGATAAAACTTCACCTGGCTACTGCTGTAAAAGACAAGAAAATTTTTTTCTTATTTTTCTCATCAATCAAAGGAGGGCTAAGGGGAATCTCCAGCCTTTATTGTATGTGGAGGGAAACAAAGTGACAGAGGTTGAGGAAAAGGCTGAAGTACTTCATGCCTCCTTTGCCTTGGTCTTTAATAATAAGAGCAGTTGTTCTCCATGTACCCAGCCTCCTGGAAGACAACTGGACAACCTTCATGAGCTGGAAGACAGCGACAACCTAAACAATTCTGTGATTCAGCCTAAACAGTTTCAACCTAAACAATTCTATGGTTCTATAATCCTGGGGGAAATTGGACTGAGGTCAGGACCTGACACACCACTGAAGACATACACAAGCCTATGGGGCCATATGGGATCTACCCAGAGTACTGAGGGAGCTGGTGGAAGTGCTCCCTGAGCCACTTCCACCTTTTTGCTCTCTACAACTATGTGAAAGAAGGTTGTAGGGAGGTGGGGAGTGCTATCTTCTCCCAGGTAACAAGAGAGAGGATAAGAGGAAATGGCCTCAAGTTGCACATAGGAAAGTTTAGATTGAATATTAGGAAAAGTTTCTTCACCAAAAGGGTTGTCAAGCATCAGAACAGGCTGCCTGGGCTGTGTCATCATCTCTGGAGCTATTTAAAAGGCACATAGATGTGGCACTCAGGGACTTAGTTTAGTGGTGAACATGGTGGTGCTGGGTTAATGGTAGGACTTGATGATCTTAGTGGTCTTTTCCAACCTAAATGATTCTGTGACTCTGTGATCTTGCCTTACTGAATTCACTAAGTAGGGAACTGGCTCTGTGAATGCCTTTATCCCCTCCCAGGATTATGCTGGCTGAGGACCAAAATACACTTAACAGTTCTTCACTGCACTCCACGTTTAAACAGGATTCAGCAGAGAACCTAAGACCTCGTGAACCAAGTTGAAAGCATGCTTGAGAAGCTTGATGTTTCTTTTAGGAAAATACTCTTCCTTTATTTTTAATTTGGGATTTGCCCAAGAAGTTCTTGAAAGTTTTCATATAAGAGGGTAGTAAAAAGCTTATTTCATGAACTTGTTTCACAGAATATACCAGTTCTTTTTCCAAAGAATATGCTGCTTCACTAGCATATGTTTTATAACTTCACTAGAATAATTTTCAAGATGGTAGTGTGGGGCTTACACTTCTGTGAACCTGTTAGCTATATTTTTCCAGCTCTTAACTCTCCTGCCAAAGCAGCATTTGTTTCATACAGATTTGTACATTGTGGTTCCAACTTCATTCTCATGCTGTTGCTTGGCCTGATGCAAACAGAGAGGAGTATGTATGATTGATAGAGAATAGAGTGGTGGTCTTGTTGATTTGGGATTTTTTTTTCCCCTCACATAGCATGCTTCTCCCAAACAGACCTGAATTGGGTTGAACAGGAGTGGAGTTTTCAGTAATCAAGCAAACCTGGCTCCTCTCTCATGCCACAGGGGAAAGGATCTGCTGAACTTAGCTAATCTGCTTAGAAACAGTATTGATAGGCTCTAAAAATTCACAAGTCTTCTGAGTGGATGTTGTTTGCCTTTTGCAGACTAAAAATTAGCTGATAAATTGTAAGAACCAGAATATTGTTATAGTCCCTTCATGAGATCTGATGTTTTTTGGGATTTTTTTTTGCTTGCTCCATGTGTTCAGTAACGTACATGTATCTTTAGCTTTCCAGAGTCTGCGCTTACAGACTCTGAGACCCCTCCCTGTGCAAAGAACTAAGGGTCTGTAAGTGTACAGCACTGTGGTCAAAAACATGTTACATTAGTGTGCTGTACAGGGCACTCACAGCCTTCTATGCCTTTGCCTGTAACCTTTTCCCTTTTTAACAATGGTCCCTGTGTCTGAACCTTTTGGGATCCATAGATAACAATTGTCCACTTGTTTTGTTTATGAAGTTAGTGCCTCCCTCTGCTGTTTAGAGCAATTTGAACAATTATTAGCTAACATGAGTTTTTTATTTGTATTAAAAATGTCTTGCAAAATAACTGTTACATAATATTAATGGTTAGCTTTTTAAGAATACGTTTTAAAAATAATGAAAATTCTTGACTAAAATTATTTGATGTATCAGTATTAACACTAGACAATTTTATAAAAAAAATTCCTTTGTCACTTCCCTGTTCATAGGATTCAATAAATACAACTGAAATGATTTATGAAGGCTGTCTCAAAGTTGACATATTAAATATTTTGCTACAAAAAAAAAAGTTTTAAAAATACAGTAAGAGACCACTGATTACTTAAAGAGAAGGGGAAACTTTCAAAAGCAGTGATTGCCTCACAGGGGATTGGTTAACAAGCTTACAATCTGTCAGTATCTTCAAGAGAACATAGCAAGGTCTTAAATAATAAAGGTATAACATCCATCACTTTGAACATATTGATACTTGCTTTTTGTGTAGCAGAAACTTTGCCTATAGAGGAAAACAGCACTTCCAAAGAACACCGATTTTCTGAGGACTCTATGGATTCTGCACTTAATTCTGTAAATCTGTCAAGCCCAACCTGTCGAAATTCCACAGAGTACCGTACTGCAGGAAGTGCTGCATATTACAGAAATTCCCATCAGCCAGCAACTGCTACCTCAAATTCAACCCCAATCCTGCGCAGTCTGTCTTTGAGCTCTGCTGGGAGCAGCAGTTACTGTGAAGTCAGTAGGAATCGAATACAGAGGCGAATTGAAGGTATGCAATTATACAAAACCTTCCAAAGTATATAACTGCTTTTACTAACATACAAAGTTATGAATAAAGAGCTTCTTTGCCATAGGAAAGCTTGCATATGGAGTGAAACGTGCTGTTGCCAAGCATGTCAGGCTTGCTAATCTAACTGCAAATGCAGAACTTAAGCCTGTTAGAACTAATAGTGCTGTGCAGGCTGAGGTGGGTCTTGCCTGCTGCACCTTCCTCTTGCTGCTGTTACAGGACCTGCAGCAAGCCAGACCAGACAGGGCCTATATGCATATCACTTCCTGAGCGTCTTATCAGCTATTGCCATGTTGCTGAAATACAGGGATAGGGTTTCCTACTCTCTCCCTCTGTCTGTACAACTTAAATTGACTTTGCCACATTCCCAGTCAATAGCGTCTTGGGACCCAGGAGCCAAGTACAAGTCAAACTAATCCCTCTAGGTATGTCACAGTGCTAATGTTTGTGCTGCTGTAAATACTTGCAGTTATAGAAGGCATTTAAAAACAAAAGGAACAATTCACTATCATTAGAAGGAAAATAAAGCATCTTTTATTTTAAAATATTGCAAAGAGCGCATAATAAAAGTCAAAAGTTAATATTGAAGTGTCTTACCTGAAATGAAATGTGTTATCCCTGTATAGACAAGTGATACTTTTTCCTTTCACAATATTTTTATATTAAAAGCTGCAAGTTCCACAACTGGACCGGATTTGAATTCACTAAAAAGGGAACCTTCAAGAATATTGAATAAGGACCCTTCCACCTGGTCAATAGAGGAAGTGGTGCGTTTTGTGAAAGAAGCTGATCCACAGGCACTGGCTCCACATGCAGAACTCTTTAGGAGACATGTATGATGCATATCCATTCCTTTCTAGTAGACTGTGTGTCACACTAATGTCTTAAAACACAGCTTTCGTGTCTATCACTCTACTTACACTTGAAGGTAGAATAGACTCTATGTGTATATTAGAGGGAGGCTGAAAATTATTTTTCCACCTGAAATTCCTCCTGCATTATATTTTCTCTGTGTTCCAGTCTTGTTAGACTAAAGTAAATAGCCAGTGCTTTCCAGCATATATGGAATAATGCCAATACTGGAAGTACCCAAGTTTTAATGGCCAACATCCCTGGTATCTCTAGAGAAAATGGTATTCCCATGTACAGTACGGGGCATTTGGCCCCCCTGTTTTAGAGATTTAACGTCCCAAAGTAGAGATGCTGTTATCCCTTGTTAGCTAGAACACTTGGTCACTAATACTAGAATTCAGAGAATCAATTGAAATGTTGAATTCATCTGTTTGGAAAAACAATGCACAGGTTTTCATAAGGTCTGACTAGATGTTATCTTTAGAGATAGAAACTGTGTCAGTTTGTGCTGGTTTTGATCTCCTCTGTACCTTCTTGCTGTACTTTTCTATGCAGGTTGCTCAGCAAAGAGCTGCTTTCTTAATTCATTGTATATATGGCCCTCCAAAAAGAGGCTGGCTTTCTCTGTAGTAGTATTTCACCCATGTTCTGTACCATCTCCTACTAACAGTTAAATCTCTGAGTAAACTGGATTGGAAGGAAAACTCAAAATAACTTTTAATAGAGATTCCTGTCTTATGTTTTATTCTTAGTTGTATAACAACAGTAAATGTCACTTGTTTTGTCAGGTTTATGTTTAAAAAAATAAGACAGAGTGGTCCTCTTTATGGTGTTTTATGAAACTAATTGCCTGTCTACAGTATGTAATGATACTAGGAGCTTAGGACTGTCATATTTCAGCAGCTTCTCAGTCAGGCTGTTAAAATCTGACTAAGTTGTCCTTGGTCTTGATCCTAACAATCTCTCTGGTTCGACATGGACATAGATCTGTCTTATTTCACAGATTTAGATGGTCTATAACCCCTTCCTCTGTGTGACTGTTTGCATGCACATGCCAAAATCCTCCCACAGCTGTGTTCAAGGTTCAGTGCAAGGCCTCAGCGCTTGGATCATTTAATCTCTAACTGCACAGACCTTCCTTTGCAGCTTCTTTTTTTCCCCCTCGACCCGCTCACTTTTTTCTTCCCAGTCAGGATCTAATTTTGAGGGCTGTTTGGTCAGTTTCTCTTATTTACTATATTTTTCTTTCTTTAACAACTCAAATACCTTAATCATACATTAAAAAATACTAAAATAAATTAAATTTCAGTGGTCATCTGTAAATATAAAGTTATACTAAGTTACTGTTTTATATATAGTAGATATTTTTTTACGACAGTATAAAGAAATATAATGTACTTTCCAGTTTTACCATGCAACTTATTAAAGTTATATGTTGTGTTTATTCTCTTCCTTCTGCAGGAAATTGATGGGAAGGCACTGCTCTTACTCAGGAGTGATATGATAGTGAAATATATGGGACTGAAGCTGGGGCCTGCCCTTAAGTTGTGCTACCACATTGAACGACTTAAACAAGGGAAGTACTAGATCGTGGAGATACCACAAATGTGTGTGTTTGTGTCACACTAAGCTCTCAGGTTCACAGCCATCCCCTTTGTTTGAAACTGTTTTGCTGATATAAATAGTCTTTATTTTTTGAAAGTGCTCTCGAAATGTTAAAAAGACATTCAGGATAAAAGGGGGGGGAGGGATTTGTATTTCATCCTGGTATTTTTGTGAACTATTTCAGAAAGTTGGCAGGCAAGGACAGTTGATCATACTGGGTGTGGGCAGGTCGGGTAACAGCGCTCTCCTAATCCTGAAAAGTGTGTTCTGTGTTACAGGCTTCAGCCAATGTATTCATATTCAGAACCAAAACAGCTGAATCCCAAAGGGAAATAATAAAATAAACCGGCTTCAGGTGTTTAAAATTTTTACAGTGGTGCCTGTAAACTTTTATATTGCAAGAAAAACTTGAAATAGAAGATCTCATCTCTGTAGTGAATACTCTGTCTGGTCTTCCAGAAGAGAAGAAGGGTTATGGAAGAGAGGGCTTAATACAAATATAAGCTTTTATAAAGTGTGATTATCAGTCCTTCAGTAAGTTATGAGGACAAATATATGGTATATTGTCAATTTATGCAGGCAATAAATATTTCTGTTTCATGGAACGGCATATTGGCTGTGTAAACAGCCATTTCTGGGACAAACTGATTTCACTGGAACAATGCATCCACATCGTAAACATTCCATCTTTTTGCTCAGTTTGGCATGGATACGTGTGTTCATGCTTTTTATATGTACCTGTGTATGTGTCAGGGAAATACATACTATATATATATAAAAATACATACACAGTGTACATATGTATTCAGTTTTTAATATGTACTTTGCACTGTGCCAGAGAGAACTGTACAATTTCTTGTTGTTTTTTTTACCAGTAAATTTAGCTGTGTATTACTTTCTTTAGCACCCGTTTAATTTGTTCTTGGAGTCAGAAGGTGACAAACAATCAAAAGGTGTCTTTATTCATACAGGTGAGATCCCTGTACTATGCAATACTCCTGAATATTCATCCCTTAAATCTGAGCCATATATTCTGATATATTTTTGGAAAGACACATTGGTTACTATGTTTTGGGTTTATATTTCCTGTAAGGAAGTGCTACTATGTAACTGATAAACCTTTTTTTGGGGGGTAAAATTGGTGCTGTTTGTTTAAGCTGCAAGAATGAGTGGTGATAATAAAACAGTTTGTTGTCACTGCGATTGTAATATACATCAGGGAGAAGAAAATATACTTTCTGTGTAGGAAACTGAATGTAATAGTGAAACCATATATAATAGTAAAGTGATAAAAACTGTTTGTTAGGGAAGGTGTAGTCCTCAAATGCTAGGGTTTATTATATTTCTTAATACCTTTTTATATGAAAGCATATAGTATAAATGTATTTTTTACAAATTCCTTTTTTGAAAATGCCTTGCTTTACTAGTAGTCTGATACTCATCAGGTTTCAACAGAGATACTGCTGCAAAATAGTGAATTTGGTGACTCACAAGTCTAAGTATTTCGTTAGTTTAAGTGACTACAATGCAATTTTAATTCAGCAAGTCATTTGGACTTTGAGAATTGTTTTTCTTATTACATCATTAGACATTTGACACTAAAGTTTATCTATATCAATTTGTTTTGCATATCTTTTGTGGCGCATGTGTGCTTAGACAAATAGTACAGGCATACTCTTTGTAGTGAGAAAAGTCAGAGCATTCATTGAAGAAACAGAATATTTTCTCTTTATGTTAGAAAAATACTGACTTAACTTCCGTATGGATACACGAACAATTATGTATTAAGGAAAACATCATGCCCCACATGTTCAGTATATTGTTTATACATATATATAATTGTATACTATTTCTTCCACACTTTATTATGCTGAATTTGGGTTCTTCAGCATAAAAAGATCTCATATAGTTTAAGTGGAAGTAATTGTCTGAAAACAGTTTTCATTTTCTACGTTGCCCTTGGCATAAAAAAAACAAAGATGTTTAAATTTTCTGTTTGGCCTTTATGGAATGACATTTTTGTACATGGCACTATTATGGGTATAAATATTTGTTCAAGGCTTTGTGTGCACCCATGTGCACAGGGAATACTGTGATTTGCTGTACCAGAATTTCTCCACGTGCTATAGCATGAGGTTCAAGCATTCAGAGTGTTACAGCAGAATATATTTTTTATTCTTTATTTTCAATGGGATGTTCCTATCTAGCAAGAAAAATAAAATAGTTTGTTCATTGTTGTAACTGTCCGTTTTGTTTGATGTCGTGTCTGTGTGTGAGCGCTGTTTGCGTAGGCAAGGGTAGCTATCTTATCTGGCAGTTTTGGACAGATTGTGGAAACATCTGATGTAAGGAAGTTTTAATCAAAAGGGTAAAATCATTCCAACATTGTTCATCTGAAGTGAGTAATGTTTGAACTTGTCTGTGCTTTCAAAACAATAACTTACTTGGTTATTCAACTGTTCGTTTTTGTATATCTTATTGCAACTTGCAGAATTCTCATATAACCAGTGAGGGGAAGAGACTGCTAAAAACTGTCCTGTGTTCAGGTAAAGACATGAAATGTATTAAGTCAAAGCAGTTAATGGCAAGAGGTTTGAACTTCATACACTTCAAGCTTTCTTATTTCTATGATGCAGAAATCTCTTGTTTCAGTGTCTGTTCGCAGGGATCAGCCTGCGCTTGAGAAGTAACTTAGACTGGGTTAATGATAACCTCACATCCTTCACAGGCAAATGATGGAAATTGGAAGTTGGCAGTGAAAATAGCCCAGAGGCATTTTGTGTCTGATCTCTCTCCAGAGATACTCGGTAGTGGATTTGATATACTCAGTGTGTATTTGATAGAGAACATGATGTAGTCCCTTTGTTTCTCCAAGTTGCTTTTCTATCAACATGGATTCATCTGCTTATCTGGTTCTGTATCTTTCAGGCATCTTGGAAGACAGTGCCATGACTCTTTAATTTGAAATTAAAATACTGCTGCCTTGGAGGACTAGCAGCTCTAAAAATTCTTGTTGCAGAAGACCTGTGCAATATTGGAATTAAATGCTGTATGATAGGCTGTGGCAGTATGCATATTGCAGGACTTTTTTACACATATGTAGGAATGACAGTGAAAGGCAGCAGCATCATGTTATGAATGTTGGCTTGGAGGATAGAGCATCTTCGCCTTTTTTGTTTGCTTTTCATAAAGGCACACCATTTTTTACTTCAGGTGGTAGACACGGGGGCAAAGATGTTCATCTCGTATTTGTAGAAATCTTCTTCCTTTTCAGTCAGGAATATAATTTGCAAAAAGCAATATTAACCTTCTCTGTAGCTCTGACAGTTTTATGTGAGTCAGTGGGTGTGATTGTGTAAGCCATGAATGTGATATGAAAATTTTACATTTGAGTATCTCGAGTACTTCTGTAGGAGAAAAATCAAGCCCTGGGTAGGGATGACTAAAATCTTGAACTTTTGAACCCAGTCAGATAAAAGTTTCATTAAGTGTTTCTTTGTGCTTGTCTGTAATTGAAGGTGAAATTCAGAGAATTGAAACACTGTTAAATGAGTAGTTTACCTTCTGCTTAATTCTGAGGGCTCCAGTCACCATTTTCCATTCATGTATTATTCCAGTGGGCCAGCTTAGGGTCATGTTTTCCTTTAAATATGAGTAACTAATAAAAATCTATTTGTATGTATGTATATGTGAGCCTATAATGTAAATAATTTTAAATTTCAGTGGCCTGACATCCAGAACCAAGCAGTCAGAGCAGCCTGTATCCAGCCAACTTAAAGCAGAGTTGTCACTGTTTAGGACAAATTGTGTTACCCTATTTATCTGCTGTTTTCAGCTGGAGCTTACAGTTTTGAGGGTTTTTTTTCTGTTCTGCATTATCAAAGATTGTCTTAAATCTGATGGTTTTTTCTAGATCACTTAGAAAACTTTGTGTGGTTCTCTAATACTCTGAAACTGTGTAATTTTTAAGTCTTTGCCATAAGACTTAAAATAGTAACTGATATTAATGAGTGTAAAGAAAGCAATGCTACAAGGAAAACCGAAACCACTGCTCAGAATGAATGTTTTTTAATTAAATATAGCAGATTTTGTATCTACAGCTTTTTGTATTTCTAGATTTGTCTTTTATCTGTGCTATTCTAATTAAAAGTTGAGAAGTGTATCACAGAATTAAGGACTAGTTGAGGCTGAAAGGGACCTCTGGAAGTCATCTGGTTTAACCCCCTGGTCAAGCAGGGCCACCTAGAGCTGGTTGCCCCAGACTGTGGCCAGATGGCTTTTGAGTATTTCCAAGGATGGAGATTACATGACCTCCCTGGACAGCCTGTGCTTGGTCACCCTCACACTGAAAAAGTGCTTCCTGATGTTCAAAGGGAACCTCCTGTGTTTCAGTTTGTGCCCGTTGCCTCTGGTCCTATCAGCGGGCACCACTTCAAAGATCCTGGCTCCATCCTCTGCACTCTCCCTTCAGGTATTTCTGTGCACTGATGAGATTCCCGCTGAGCCTTTCCTTCTCCCAGCTGAACTGTTTAAGCTCTCTCAGCCTTTCCTCACAGGAGAGATACTCTAGCCCATCATCTCTGTGGCTCGTGGTCAACTTGGTGTCCACCAGGACACCCCAGGTCCTTTTGTGCCAAGTTGCTTCCCAGATGGGCAGCCTTCAGCATGTACTGGTGCCTGGAGTTGTCCCCAGGTGCAGGGCTTTGCACTTCCCCTTGCTGAACTTCATGAGGCTCCTGTCAGCCCATTCCTCCCACATGTTGATGTCCCTCTGGATGGCAGCACAGCCCTCTGATGTAACAGCCACTCCTGCTGGTTTTGTGTAATCTGCAGACTTGCTGAGGATAAGCTCTGCCCATCACCCAGGCCACTGGTGAAGAAGGACTGGAGCCAGTAGTGATTCCTGAGGTACCTCACCAGTTACTGGCCTCTGACTGTACTTTGTGCCACTGATCATCATCCTCTGGGCACAGCCATTCAACCAGTTTTCTATGCCCCTGTCTGCTCATCCAGCCTACACATCAACAGCTTGTCTGTGAGGATCTTCTGACTGTGTGCTTCCCTTTGCCACCTCTTCACCAACCTGACCTTTATTTCCCCAGCTCCACTCACATGATAACCACTAGTGTCAGTCATAACAGATGCATCGTTTGCCATGGCTGCATCCAACTCAAACTGAATTCAGGGGAGACAGATAACACAATAGCCAAGGGATAATTTGAGCAACGTGCCCAGTCAAGGTCCAACTCCAGTCATGTTTAAAAGAAAGTAGGTTTTCTAGTAACTATGAAAATACAGCTATGAGTCAATTATTTTATTCCATAAATAGTGGACAGCCCAGGGTGCATTGAGCTCTCCTGCACAACAGCAGGCAGCATACCAGGATCTCCCCTTGAGTAGGGACACCTCTCAAGGTTACTCCTCAAGACTGAGAAGTTTCTTGCTGCAACAGATTGTTGGTAAGTGTATAGAAGCATGCTAAACTTTGAAATCTTAACTAAGCGATGTAAAGGATTGATTGTACGCATATAATCCTTTAGACATAAATAATTGATCAAGTCTAGGACTGAGTCTGGATCCATCTTCACCTAAACTCTCCTCTGAGAAGGAGTTTAGGATGCAAGTGGCGTCTTTCTTAACCTCATGACTCAATGGGAGGATCTCCCTGACAGTGTTGTCTGACTCTGTCCTCTATGCAGTAAATAGTCAAGTGTACTTTGCTATTATATCTTGTTAAGTCATTCTCACTTTTTTGATCAAACTTTCTTAAATCTCTCGTTTATACCAATGAAAATATTGCCACTTCTCTCTTACGAGTGAAGTGCGTCGCTGTACCCGACAGGTCTTATGGAAGACAGCGTCAAAGGCCTTCCTGAAGTCTGGGTAGACAATATCCACTGTTCACCCCTCATCTACCAGGCTGCTGGTCATTTTATCATGGAAACTTAGCAAGTTGGTGAAGGATGACTTCCTCTTGGTGAAACCATGCTTGCTATTTGTGATGAGCATCATCTTGTTCCTTGTGCCTGAAAATGGTTTCCAGGATAACTGCTCCATCAGTTTCCCAGGGGTGGAGGTGAGACTGACTGGCCTGTAAGTTCCCTGGGTCCTCCTCCTTGCTCTGTTTGAAGATGAGTGACATCTCCTTTCATTCCGTCTTCAGGCACTTCTTCCACTCACTATGATTAGTCAGAAATTATGGAGAGTGGCCTCACTTTGCCATCCGCCAGCTCCCTCAGCAGTCATGGCTGCATCACATCAGACTTAAGTTTGTTCAGTTTACTAAGGTATTCCCTGACCCAGTCCTTTTCCACTAAGGGTCTATTGTTTTTGCTTCAGTCTTTCCCTTTGGTCTCTGGGACCTGGGATTCCTGAAGGCTGGTCTTGCTAGGAAAGGCTGAGACCAAGCTGATATTCAGTACTTCAGCATTTTCCATGTCCTGTGTAACAAGGTTCCCTATCTCATTCATCGGTGGGCCCACATTTTCCCCAGTCTTCCTTTTGTCACCTATAAAGTGCAGTCTATTTTAATGCAGTATCATGTAAAGAAACGCATTTTAAAAGTGGCTGTCAGTATTTTTTCCTTTGATTGGTTAGCTAGTTATATAATAGGGTAAAATGAATGAAGAGGTGTGAACCTCTTCTAAGTAATGAGCCTCTTCATCTCTCTGCTGCTCTTTCTGCGAGTCGAAGCTAACTCTGTGTAGAGTTAGACTGGCTTGGTTTAAGGAGGAGGGAAAAAGAAAAAAGTGAGATCCCCTTGAGATCAATTTCAAAGGTCATATATTCCTCCTCTCTATTTTTATTACATGTAAAACTATGGGAGTGAGTAAAAAGTGCTCATTTGGAACTGCCTAAGAGTGATGCAGGGAGGCAGAAGCTGATTTCATGTCCATTTTAGTGGTGAAATGATTGCTGCTTTTTTTTTTTCAAGCCTTGATTATAATCTTTCTCTCTGTAAAGCTTACTGACTGGCCCATAATCCTGAGATTGTGTTCCCCAACTGTCAGTGTTGTGTTGTTTCAAAGGTCATGCAGAGCCATTTTGAGACTTGTTAAAATCTGAGCAGTCTGTTGTAAACTCACTGTGTTGTCAGTCTACAACTATATCTATATATAGCATTTTATATATATTTTAATTTTTTTAAAGTGTGAATTTCAGGGTTGTTTTGTTTTTTTTAAATAGCAAA